TCAACATAAATAAATGTGGAAATATATAAATATGGAATTGAAGAACGTTGCAGATATATACATTATTCTGGGTCTGTGCCGTGCAGAAGTAACGCAACAGAAGAGAATAACTTACAAGTTTTCTGAAACTATCCTAAAGGTCACGGTTGTTATCTCGAGATCACGAGAAAACTATCCCGTTATCACAGGAAAACGGAGTAAAAACAATATTTGAATGGATGGCCGCTTAGAGCTTCCGTACATCCATTTACTCCTATTGTTAATATTTTTGAATGTGAGTGTATTATATTTTAACTCTTCTTCAAATCTGTGTCGAAAAACGTTCACACGTGTTCCAGGTGAGCTCCTACACGCTGCTGACAGAACACCTCCTGGGGTCTTTGGCCTGACCTCTGTCTGACCTCCGCCCTGACGCCTGACCTCTGCTAGTTTGTGTTTGTTTGGTAAAACCTGACACGTTCCTGCTGGTTCCAGTCTCCACGTCTCTGAGCGACGATCGTCAGCAGCAGCAGCTCTGGTGCCGATCACTGCTGCAAAACAAAACAGATCCTAAAAACACAGACGGAGTCACATGAAACTGATTTATGCTGGTGTGTCTGTGTGTGTCGCAGTCTGTCGAGTGCAGAGCAGAATGATGGACACTGAGGCCGAGCAGGTTCAGTTCTCAGTGTTTATTTTAACCAAGTGAGACGATGAAGCAGGCAGTCCAGGGAATAAACAAATCCACAGAAACATGACAGAATAATCCAGGAGCAGGCAGGGAGAAGGAGGCGCACCGTCAGGGAAAATCAACAACTACAAAATAAAACAGGAAATCCCCGACAGTGTGTGTGAAGACAAATATTCTATTTAATTTTTCTTTTACCTTTATTTAACCAGGAAAAAACTCATTGAGATTAAACATCTCTTTTCCAAGAGCATCCTGGCCTTCTGTGATGTCATCTGTGATGTCATTGTAAGCAAAACGCTGTCCCCTGCAGTCCGTTCTCGCTGACGCTGCCTGGCGGCGAGCTTCTGTTGGACAGACTGTGAGGAGCAGGTGACGTGTGTGACAGCACTGAAACACCTGAGTCTGTGGTCAGGTATCAGCGTCACTGGTGTCACATGACCCACAGCCAGTTCTCTCAGTGATTTAACATATTTTAGAAATCGGTTGCCTGTTCATCACTAACATAATGTCAAAGCCGTCTTCAACCGTTTTAGTGTCTGGCCCTGTTACACATGACGGCGGGACTCGAACCTCAAACGGAGCAGCACCAGGAGCCCGACGTGGTCAGTTTACAGGCGTCACTTATTATTCACCCGTGCACACGAGCAGTTCACAGCAAGTTTGTGCAGACGAGAGTTTGTTTAATCCAAGTGGTACAAACAACCTCACAGGAACCAGCGAGAGAGCTGATCCAGAGTCAGAGCTGCATTTCTCTCCCCATCAAAGATTGACCTTTGAATAAAAGTGAACTGTCACGATCACATGATCAGCAGCACCAAAGTGATTTACCTCAGACACAGGAGACGGTGGCGGGTTGATGGTTCTGCACTTTCAGGCTCGTGGACACAGGCAGGATGTGAGACTGATGGACATGAAGATATCGTCTTTAATATGGATATATATCTAAATATCTGTCGCCCCTGATGCTCTGCAGACGTTTGAGTGAAGACGTCACGTTTCTGAAGCCTAAAATTCCCTTATGAACTTCTTCAAAACGTCTGTGAGCGAAGAGCTGAGGGACCTGACAGATGTTTAATAATGAAATGATTTTATGTCTTTGTTCTTTTTCACAGTTTTCAGAGTCAAATACGAATGAGTGAAGACTAAATCCTGAAAACACCCTTTTCTTTTTGTTGTTGTCTGTTGTTTTGACTCATTTATCAGCTGAGTTCTTGATGAACTAAAACTGAAAAGATAAAAGCAGATATAAAGATGTCCTCCTCTCTGTGTTCCAGCTGAAAGATGACCGGTGGTGTGGATCAGAAGCAGTTCAGGTCTGAGGAGGGTTAAATCAGAGCTCCGGTCTCAGATCAGTGCTGCAGGAATGAATCCTTAGCTTTAACATCGTGTTAGTGAAGCGTTTGATTTCTCACCTCCTCAGAAAACCAATAAATCACCAAAACCCCGATCAGATCCGGACTTTGGACTTCGGTATCAGAGAGAGCCAGATTGGTAATTACTGATGAAGGTGATCGATAGCGTTGCCAGAGCAGGAGGTTCAGCCGCTCCATCAAACTCTGGTTAAAATGTGAAACCATGTGAACCAAAACTGAGCTGATGGACGGCCGCAGCTGATTTATTGATCGGCTCATTGATCGCTGATGCCCCTGTGGCCGGTGTGCTGCCCGGCAGCTGAGGCTCCGTACGGCAGCCTGGCGGTGTGTTCATTAGCCCGGTATCGGCCAAATGAGCAGACAGAACAGGGAGTACTGGGAACGGGAGGACGTGGGGGGGGGATTAGCATCATCAGCCAACCAATTGCTGCTCAGTGTGACGGCAGCTGCTCGGTTAGTGAGTTGATTGACTCCAGACGCCACTTTGGCAGATAACCAACAATCAGAGCCCTGCGTCCTCCCAGTCTGCGCTCACGTCAACAAAGGTGGAGACTTCTCTTCTCAGAACCGGGACATAGAGCCTGCAGATGTCTGATGATGATGGGGAGAATATTTAGAAAGTCACTGATCTATCGTACGTTCAAAGGACTTAATCTGATATTTGGTGAATATCACTTTAAAATACTCTGCAGGCAAACAAACAACAACACAAACAAAAGACGACAGGACCTCAACTCTCAGTGAAATAAACTGTCCGGAGCAATTAACCTTTACTTTGTGACTAGGACATGATCAACATGTAACTACATACATGTTCCTATGAGATGGAACCCCTGACATAGTGATGGGTTCACTTCTGACCTTTATTTGTTAGCAATATAAAGAGCTTTACAAAATATTCTACAAATAACAGTGTACAAACATTATGTTGTCAAGACACGGAAATATCAATAAAACAGAAAATAAACAATATTAGAAGTGGGTTTTTTTATGTATCATCCCCGTCTAGACAAACAAACACGGCACGCTGCTAGTTTGTGTTGATGTTTCTGCTGATTTTGATTTTCTGATAAACTCAAAAGGTGCTTCTGTTTATACACAGTCAGGGTCCATACAGACCAAACCTGAAATCCTGGACGGTCCGGATTCAGTGCATCTCCTTATACACCTGTCTGCAAGCTTTCATCAGTGCAGAGAGTTCTGGGTAACGTGCTGAGAACAGAAAAACAAGGGGGGAAAAATCTGGACATTTGTTGGAACTGTTCAAGTTTCTCTGAGCCAAAAACCCTTCAAACATCCAGACGTGGTTTGTTTTTGGAGTCAGAGTTCCTTCTACCAGACTTCAGAATAAACCTCTGCAGTCACTTCCTTCACCGGATCAAGTAAACTGGAGTTTCCCCTGCGACGGTGGCGGCAGGTGAAGTAGATGTAGTAGGTAAGGCCCAGCGGGAAGGTCGGCTGGGATTATATTGATGGATTCAGTTTCAGCTGGGACCCCTCAGGGAGCAGGCCTGTTTCTGTCCTGCTGTGGTGATGGATGGGGTGAGACGTGTCCTCCTGGAGATGAACGGCACGTCGCCGCTGCTGCCTCTAACGACAGAGGGAAAGGTCGACCTGTCAGCCTACTGCAGGGCTTCACGCTGGATGAAGGTAAGTCGGTAAAAAGCTGCAGAGACTCTGAGACTCAAACAGAGTTCCCAGTCTGTCAGCACTTTGGTGTGGAAGGAAACAGCTCAGCAACTATTGGATGGACTGAAATGTGGCTCAGTTATTCATGGTTCACAGAGGATGAAGACGACTGACTTTGATGGTCCTCTGACTTTTCATTTAGCACCACCATGAGGTTCAAGTTATTTATTTTACAGACTGCACAGTGAGCCTGGTGTTTGAGTCAAGTCTACTGCAGAAGCACATAAACACTCCTGACAGGCCGGGTTGGTTTTACATTTCACACAAGTTAAATGCAACAACGGTGACCACATTTCTGAAATGAATACCAGGAACATGTTTGGTTTGGTGGTCAGCATGTCATTAAAAATATAATGTTATTATATATGAAATAAAAAGGGGACAATTTTGGTTTTATTATCTGTCAAAAATAACTCGTCTGAATGAAATCAAGCCATTTTGAGGCTGCAATCAAAGTAGCCTTACTGCATGTTACGGGTTGTTTTGGCCATTCAAAGGTATTTCACCAGGTAAAAAGGACTGGATTGGTTATTTAACAGCCAGTTAAATCATGTAGAGTCATAAGGATAATAAATAATATAAGAGATCCTGTCATTATTTTATATATATCTCAGCAGTAAGTCCTTTTAATTATAGGCTTCATTTTGTTTTCCAAATATAAACAAGGATATTAGACAAAGGCCTACCAAACACATAATCCATCAGCAACAAACACTTTGCCTGTGATCACGTGGGCTAAATGTCCGGCCTGGTTACGCTATAAACTGCAAACACTTATGTGGCCACAACTGTGATTATTCTGTTAAAAGAAACGTTAAAGTATCACAAAGACAAACCTTTGCTGTTACCACGGACATAAAGCGATGTGTGTTTGCACGTTATGCCTGTTTGATCCGGATAAAAGCAGCTGTAGACGTAAAGAAAGTGCGCGTTAACGTTACATGCTGCGCGCTCCCTCACTCTTCAGCGTGACACCTGCTTTGCTGTCCAGTCTTTTTGGCCACATAAGTCTGATCTCAGGTCTGTTAAATACAGTCTATGATTAACGGTTAGAAATGGGGGCCACCAAAACCGGGGCCTGTCCCCGGAAAACGGGGACCAGTCACCTTAAACAACACTTCACTGCTTGTTGGACTTTTAGAAGTAAGAAGCTGAAACAGAAATTTATAAATGTTAAAACCACAAAGTTAAATGTGAAGAGTTTGAGTGTGATTGTGTCATTATTTCTGCACTGAAGAATATTTTAATATTTGTATTAAGACTTTATTTATTGATTATTGAGATCTTCATTGAGCCCACTTCTCATCTTCAGAGTCTGCCAGTGTTTCTCTCCACAGAGCTGAGCGTCTCGTTAGCAGCCCTCTCCCCTTTATCACCCCCGCCACCCTGAAACGCACGACATTCAGCATCACAGCAGCAGCACTTCAAACACTCTGCAGCCACGGGGCTCCGGCTCGTCACTGCATTTTTAATTAGACGGGAACGGATCCCCCGCTGAAGCGACGGAGTTCACCGGAGTTCACCGGCAGGTCGTCGTTTGATGTTTCCTCGCCGCTGCCAGAGCTTCCTGTTTCCCCTGAGCTAACGGAGGAGCTCCCATCCACATAACTCCTCAGCCAGCATCTCTTTTGTCAGCCGTTTCATTCAATCATTAAGTGTGAAATAGCTATGAGTCAAAGTCACCTGTGAGGTACGGAGGACAAAACATGACATTTTTACACATTACAGATTAATAATGAATAAATAAATAAATAAACTAAATATAAAAGGATAAATATGGAAACAGTTTGAAGGCAAACTAATGACTGAATGATGAGTTCATTCAAATGCGCACACTGTCTAACTTACAAAAAAATATTTATAACGTGGTAATGTTTTGGTGGTAGACCTTCATCAGCCAAGTGGTGTTACATACTGAGAAGACATCTTTTGTATGTGGTGACCTGTTTGTCTGCACCAATCACCCACTTCCTCATGAAATAAGGCAACATCACAAAACAGTGAATCACATTTGGATTTAGAGTTACATCAATAGATAAATAGACTAAATAACAAATAACAAATATGTGTGAAGAGATTCAAAAGGCAATAATTTCATACTTCATTAATGTATGTGTTAAAGAACAATGAAATACATGGAAAAATTTAAAAATAGAAAAAGTCATCAACATAAAAATTACTTCCAAACCTCAACATTGTTCTTAAAGTATAACAAACATATCCTCATCCTCATATCCTAAAAAAATGCATACATATATAAATTAACACAATCAACAGGGCACAATGCTTAATAATACTGATAATATATGTTCATATTCATACGCATCCAGAACTGTTTAGAGCTGGACAGGAAACTCCTTCTTGCTGTGGCCCTAAAGCTCGACATACTCAATAATGTTCTAAATATAGTGAACAAGATTTTCACTATACTCTCCTCTTTCTCATCAGCACCTAATTGTGGGAATTCTTTTGTTAAACAATATTGCACCGCTTAGTTCAAATAAATTTGGTATTTTGTCCGTTTATTAAGAAACAATAAACAAAATGTGGTAAATGTTTCTGTAAATAATTCTAAAATCAAGTCTAGTTTACATTTTAGTACATCCCTAATTTCTTTTAGTTCCTTTTTGAAAATTTTCATGATTTGAGACTTCATACTTCATACAATATTCCAATTAGTCATGATTAATCCTCCTTACAAATTGGTATAACCAGTGTCTTTAAACTGTTTAGACAAATCTTTGCTTTTGACTGAAAACTGAACTCTGAGCAGTTTGATTCTCTCCCTCCGTCACATCAAAGCTAGGACGCCTCGTCTCAGTGAGCAGAGGCACATTTAATAAGAGGTTGTCTTCTGCGTTGTCTGTGCAGAGTTTAATGAGCTCCTCCAGGCTCCTCTGACATGAATAATGTATACGTTATTCTATTTTAGAGCCAACAAAATGGCTTCTGTCTTCTGGAAGGAGCAGAACTGTGATGTGATGGACCGCCTGGAAATGAAAAAGGCCCAAGGCGAGACTCCAGGACGCCGCCTCCACGTCCACAGACAGATTACAGACCTTGATGGTGGACGCTCAGCAGGAAGACTTTAAACCTGATCAGGCAGCTCACCTGAGGACATTCATATACAGCAACACACTACAGAGAGTCTCTTTTGTTGTTGATGAAAATAATAAGTGTGTGTTCAGAAAGAAAATAAACATTTGTTAGCAGGCTGTGTATGTTTGAACATTGTTTCTTTTAATTTTAGTGTTTGGTGGCTTTTATATATACTGCTTTGTCTGCAGGAAGAAAGCTGGAGACAAAGTTTCCAAATAATCTCAACTTTATACAAAAACAACTGAAGGAAAGTTGAAACTGTCAGAGAGAAAAATATTGTAAACCTTTACTGAGACTCAGTGTTTCTGCATGGAGTGTAAATAATGAACAGAATAAAATCTTCATTACTGTGCAATATTTTTTTTAGCTTGAAGAGTTTGTTTTCCCTCTAGCCAGTAAGACATTAGCACTGACCAGCCACAAACGCTAGTTCCCCTTCGAGGGAACTCGAACTGCGTCGGTGACGACACTATAGGAACGCCTCTGGGTGTGGCAGGGCTGAACTATGAATGAAACTACTCCAATCCTATTGGTGTTGCTAGAATGGTAGTGTGTGACGGCGTAACCGGAAGGGTATATAAGCACGCCGGCACACAGGACACATTAGCTTCTTTCTATTCAGCAGGCACTCTGGCTATTATTGGAAGCTCCATCATCTTACATGAAGACGAGACGAAGCAGATCATGTCGAAACAATTCCAACAGTGTGTCTTCCCTTGTCAGCGCTTCATCACGAAAGGTGATACCCACGGAATGTGTGTCGCAGGCAGCCCCCTCGAGAGCTGCCTGCGACCATTGCGAGGCCCTGCCCCTGGGGGTGCTGAGGTCTCAAGTGGCTCTCTTCCTAGAGGATGGTCGGATGCGCTTCCCCCGTGGCTCAGGCCCCGCGGTCGCTGAGGCGTCGCGGCGATTCCGATCCTGGGGATCACAACGTGAGATCGCCGAGGGTACCGGGACGGCTGAATCCTCCTCCCCTCGTCCCTGATCGGGAGCCCGTTTCTCGGCTTCTCCCACTCGAGGTATGAGTCCGGAGAGGCTGACACGATCTGGAACACGACCGGAGTTTTTGTCTATGAAAATAACTCTCCTCCCCCATCTTCAGGATTTATAGTTTTCTTTTGAAATCACTGGTATATTTACTTCAAACAACGTGTTTATTTCTTACTTTTTTAAGTAAAGATAATTCATCCTGTAGCCAGACACAAAAAAACACGTCTCACTAGCTGGCTTTTATCAAGCCAGTTAGCTTGACCCCACCTTGACTTAGTGCATTTGCTATAATGATGTTACTTTGGTATTTTTCGTACATGAGTTAGTCAGGATGATGGAAGAGAAATTCTTCCAGACCAAGAGATCAATACAGGATCTGAACCCCCAACCTCATTGAATTCTCCCAGGTAGTGAAGAGGTCAGGGTCAACTGGCACCAGGAAGCCACACAGAAACAGTTTAGTGTCGGGTTGAACAACAGTCCTTCCAATAGTTCTACCCTCACTGCCGAAGTCACAAAGAGAGGACTCAGCTTCACCTTCACCTACCTGCAGGGAAAAACTTTACAAAGAGTCCAAATGGCTGTCCTGGATCAGAGGTTTCGTTTGAAGTAGATCCAACTAACAGCGCAGAGCTGTAAACAACAATTACATTTAGAGAGACAGTTAATATACAGTATTCTGACTACAGACGCAGTGAGAATTGTGAGTTACATAATGACAGAATTTTTCACATGTGGCCCTAAACTTACTTTGTTGATGCTTTTAAGACGCTGCGCATAAAAGCATCTGCCAAATGGGTAAACTGACCATGTTGGAAGCGATTATGCTCAAACACCATACAGGTGTGTGCGAGTTTGAAGATGTGGCAAGTTTAAAGTAGCCCAATCTGGGGACCGAACTCACAACCTGTTGCGCAACAAAATTGTCTCAAAGCCTGCCGTGTTACCAACTGAGCCACAGAAGCAGACGGCTGAAGGTGGTCACAATTTCTCTTATCCATGTAAAACTGCATTTGCTGTTACGATTTAGCTTTTCAGCTGTTACTTTGGTATTTTTAGTAGCTTAGCACGAGAATATATGGCATGAGTCCACACTCCAAACATGTAGATGTTGCAAGTTTTCAAAATAAGAAGACGGCTGTGGGTTACCTTTCAATTAACGTTTAAATCTAAAAATCTTATCCTCTATTGAGGAAGATGTTGGCATTTTGAGAGAAAAAGGCTTGTGGCTTCATACCGATGCCTATTATGTGCTTATGGCCTTTGCAAGTGAACCGCGAGGATGTCAGTGGGTAATTTGCTGCTGAGCTGCTGGTCTCATAATGTTGAGGTGGAACTCTTTTGTTTTCCTGGTTTTACAGTTGGTTTGGTTTTGAAATCACTTCTAAATAAATCTCAAACCACCTGTTTCTTTCTTACTTCCTTTTTTGAGTAAAGATAATTCATCCAAAAAACACACCTTGACTTACCTGCTGTTTGTTCCCTTGATGGTCTGTTGCAGATGAACAATGGCGGAAATTCACGGCGAGAAATGAACGCAGCGGAAATTCACGTTGAGAAATGAACGCAGCAGAAATTCACGGCGAGAAATGAACGCAGCGGAAATTCAAAACGAGAAATGATCGCAAGGATTGGTTTGGTTTTTTGGAGTGTAGTTTGAAGGTTTGTCACGTACCTTGAGCTGAGCTGAGGTTTGATCCCACATCTCCGGGTATCCGGACGGCGTGCTTCCCCACTGGACCATCTTCAGCGCTGTTTAAGATGAGCAACCAGAGAGAGGAAGAAGATCAGACTGAGGGAGGAACCTGCAGAAACTTCACCTTTGTCAGTCTGGAGAGGAAGCTTTGGATGGATGGACTTTCTGTCCTTTACTTTATAGGGATCCTGTTGTTGAGCTGTCTGAGCTGCTGGTCTCATAATGTTGAGGTGGAACAAGATGCCGATCTGGCTCCGAGGAGCTAGATGTGCTAAGCATCGTCGTCAACAGGTTCCAGCACGCCAAAACTCAGGGAGAGGCGTTTGAGCGATATCTCCCCCGCCGGTCAGGCTCCAGGCCCGCGACGGCTCAGGAAAGGCGGACGCAGCCTTCGTCCAGAACCTACCTCCGCAGCCAGAAGCAGATCGTCGCTTCACGGGATCCCCCTCAACAAACCTGGGACGCAAGAGAAGACAGATCTGAGGACCGTCATTCAGTCTCGGGGGAAGAGGTCCTGAGACTTCAAGTAGGGGGACCCACCGCCACCCCCTGCCTCCTCGCCCCGAGGGGCGACAGCCAGAACACGACCGGGCTCACAAACCATGGCGCCACCCGGGACTCCCGCAAGCCCCAAGGGGATGGCCCCCCTGGCGAATTTCGCGGAAGCTTGGCGGAGCCTCATGAACATTTCCCCGTGGGTCCTGCGCACAGTAGTGGATGGCTAGAGGCTGGAGTTCCGGGTTCGCCCCCCCAGATTCTGCGGGATGGTCGGGACTGCAGTACACGCAGAACAGAGCCAGGTGTTGGGACAGGAAGTCCGCTCTCTGCTAGGGAAAGGGGCCATAGAACTCATTTCCCTGCCGGTCAGAGAGGCCAGGTTCTACAGCCAATACTTCCTAGTTCCCAAGAAGGACGGAGGGTTGCGTCCGATTTTGGATCTGCGGTCCCTGAACCAATCTCTGAGGAGATTCAGGTTCAGGATGCTCACCATCCCCGCCATCATCAGTCACATCCAATCCGAGGATTGGTTTGTCACGATAGATCTGTAAGACACTTATTTCCACATCTCCATCCGTCCTTCTCACAGGAAGTTCCTGAGGTTCGCCTTCGGGGGCACGGATTACCAGTATCAGGTTCTTCCATTCGGCCTAGCACTCTCTCCCCACACGTTCACCAAATGCATGGATGCAGCTCTGGCCCCGTTAAATAGCAAGTGGCAAGTTTAAAGTAGCCCAATCTGGGGACCGAACTCACAACCTGTTGCGCAACAAAATTGTCTCAAAGCCTGCCGTGCTACCAACTGAGCCACAGAAGCAGACGGCTGAAGGTGGTCACAATTTCTCTTATCCATGTAAAACTGCATTTGCTGTTACGATTTAGCTTTTCAGCTGTTACTTTGGTATTTTTAGTAGCTTAGCACGAGAATATATGGCATGAGTCCACACTCCAAACATGTAGATGTTGCAAGTTTTCAAAATAAGAAGACGGCTGTGGGTTACCTTTCAATTAACGTTTAAATCTAAAAATCTTATCCTCTATTGAGGAAGATGTTGGCATTTTGAGAGAAAAAGGCTTGTGGCTTCATACCGATGCCTATTATGTGCTTATGGCCTTTGCAAGTGAACCGCGAGGATGTCAGTGGGTAATTTGCTGCTGAGCTGCTGGTCTCATAATGTTGAGGTGGAACTCTTTGTTTTCCTGGTTTTACAGTTGGTTTGGTTTTGAAATCACTTCTAAATAAATCTCAAACCACCTGTTTCTTTCTTACTTCCTTTGTTGAGTAAAGATAATTCATCCAAAAAACACATCTCACTAGCTGGCTTTTATCAAGCCAGCTAGCTCGACCCCACCTTGACTTACCTGCTGTTTGTTCCCTTGAAGGTCTGTTGCAGATGAACAATGGCGGAAATTCACGGCGAGAAATGAACGCAGCGGAAATTCACGGCGAGAAATGAATGCAGCGGAAATTTGAAACGAGAAATGATCGCAAGGATTGGTTTGGTTTTTTGGAGTGTAGTTTGAAGGTTTGTCACGTACCTTGAGCTGAGCTGAGGTTTGATCCCACGTCTCCGGGTTTCCGGGCGGCGTGCTTCCCCACTGGACCATCTTCAGCGCTGTTTAAGATGAGCAACCAGAGAGAGGAAGAAGATCAGACTGAGGGAGGAACCTGCAGAAACTTCACCTTCGTCAGTCTGGAGAGGAAGCTTTGGATGGATGGACTTTCTGTCCTTTATAGGGATCCTGTTGTTGAGCTGTCTGAGCTGCTGGTCTCATAATGTTGAGGTGGAACAAGATGCCGATCTGGCTCCGAGGAGCTAGATGTGCTAAGCATCGTCGTCAACAGGTTCCAGCACGCCAAAACTCAGGGAGAGGCGTTTGAGCGATATCTCCCCCGCCGGTCAGGCTCCAGGCCCGCGACGGCTCAGGAAAGGCGGACGCAGCCTTCGTCCAGAACCTACCTCCGCAGCCAGAAGCAGATCGTCGCTTCACGGGATCCCCCTCAACAAACCTGGGACGCAAGAGAAGACAGATCTGAGGACCGTCATTCAGTCTCGGGGGAAGAGGTCCTGAGACTTCAAGTAGGGGGACCCACCGCCACCCCCTGCCTCCTCGCCCCGAGGGGCGACAGCCAGAACACGACCGGGCTCACAAACCATGGCGCCACCCGG